TTTAGGAAACAATTTTTTTTTATTTTATTTTTTTTTAACTTTTTGGCAATGGAAACAAATTTTATAACCAATTGTGGAAAAAAATATCACTTTAATGGACAATTTTCATGTAAAACAAAGTCAAACGAATAGAAAATTTTAAAATTTTTCGGGTGAAAAATTATACCAGTTAAACACACTTAATTAACAATTCCCTGCAAACACAATTTCTAGACAATTACTTTCCATGAAAATTATTTTCTTTTCACCCATTTTCCATCCTTGCAATCAAACGGACCCTTAGTGTAGCATGATTGTTCCCTTTAGAATTAAGATTTGTTGTCGGATGAAATTGACATCTTTGTTGGCCAGAAGATGTGTAAAAAAATTATTGGATGACATTATTGACTATTTTTAACCAGTTCAATGCCACATGACATTTTTGTCATTTAGTTTGTCATTTAGGATGTCAATGTAGCATAATTGTTTCATTTAGAATTAAACTTTGTTTCCATATTAATTTGACATATTTGTTGACAGAAGAAGATGTGTAAAAAAATTATCGGATGATATTGTTGATTGTTTTTTAAACAACCCAATGAAATTCTATCACTTGACTTTTCTATCATTCAAATGTCATTCAAGATGTTAGTGTAGCATGAATGTTTCCTTTAGAATTAAGCTTTGTTGCCAATAAATTTGACGTCTATGTTGAAAGAAGAACATGAGTAAAAAAAATTATTTGATAGCATTGTTGACTTTTTTCTTTTTTTTTTTTGAACAGTTCAATGAAATTCTGCTACGTGGCATTTTTGTCATCTTATGTTTTCTTTTAACTTCGTTTTGTTCTCAAGTTTTACTTACAAACTTGGTATTTCAAACGGTCTTTCGCTTGCTTTCTATTATGCATGTTATCCCTCAGTTTCGGGGTATAAAGAATTTAGGCTACGTGGCATGCCACGTGGCAGTACGGTCGACGAGGAGTCAAGAGGAAGGCCAATAGGTCAAAAGTCCAAGGGAGAAAATGGGCCCAAGGTCATTACATAACGAGCCTCGG